GTGGCGCCCCCTTTTGAGAGCGCGCACCTTTGTGTCGCTAAAATCGAGCGACGACGAGTATACTCGTCGATCACAGAGTAAATGTCGCTGTTAAAATATTGGATCGAAAGGATGAGTTTATTTTATAAAATTCACAATTTCATTACTAATATTTACTTATTTGGTTAACATCTATTCTCTTATTAGTTAGTTTTCATGGATATCTACGAATTTTAGCGACCGTCAAAGAATAGCTAGGTAACTTCGGGCCAGCAGCCATCAATGGACTCAGCACCTGGTCAGCGTCACGCATATAGCGACCGTCAAAGAATAGCTAGGTAACTTCGGGTCAGCAGCCATCAATGGACTCAGCACCTGGTCAGCGTCACGCATTTGTCCCATGGCGGACCATCTCTGAAGAAACCCTATCGTAAATCAGCTTTCCGACTTGTGCTTTTGCCCCTTTTACGCTGACATCTAGAAAACGTTATCATCGCGCATAAATAAATTCGTTATGCGAACTGATAAGCTGTTTCAGCTGTTTTGAGTGCATCTCAAATTGTTCATATTTTTTATTTGTTTTATTCCGGCCTGGCCTCAAAATATTCTAAACATCTCGAAATTCGACAATACGTTTTATTTTTCACAAAAATTACAATTTAAATAACCAGTGGTCGCTATTTTTCACGCATGACGAGTATTCTCGTCGTGACACAAAATCCTGCCACTTCTGCACGACGAGTATACTCGTGGATCACAGCTAACTGGTTAAAGTTCCACGTACAGCAAACAGCGTTGCGTAAGTACCGCCGTAACGTTACAGAGTTAGGCTGGTTGAATCGCTTCTTGCGCCCTTTCACGAAAACAAAACCCAGTGTGCCGAAATCCCCAGGCCGCGCCATTGAATCGCTGGACAATCCACGCCCGATCCAATCCACACCGTCCACAATCATCGATCAACGTTCATTGAAGAAACGTAACCATTTGCCGAATCTTCGAACACCTCGTTCCGAATACCCGGCGTGCACCTAACCCCGTGAATCCAAACTAGAGTAGCGGGCCAAACAAACGGGCCCTCGAGCTCTTTCAGTCTTCCCAATTTACGCAACGCGCGTTCCACCACCGCGAGAGGGTATTAAATCGAAGCCCGCGCCTCTGCATACACGCTAATCGAACCAGGTGCCAATTTCCATGCACCCTTCGAGCCACCCACGTACAAAGAAAACAAAGCGAGAAGGAAGCAACGCGATGGGGACGAAACGAAAGGCTGTGCGCGGCTGAATGAGAGCAGCCGGGGAGCATTCATTATCGCTGCTCGCGAAATGGACGGAACACGGCGAAAATGGCCAGACCTGGTCGTGATCTTGGCGCATTCCGCTGGCAACTTTTGCCCGCGGAAAATCGAATATCCCCGGACAAACGAGTATTTATTGGAATACCATCTGAATGGGGCCAACTATCGTCCGCAGCAGCCCCGTTGCCTGCACTTTCCAGCCTTTCGCGTGCCCGGTCAAGCCTCCACCCCTCGTCCATCGTTATTTCCATCCGCCTTTCACTCGCGCAAACAAAGCGGGCTCTGCCTCTTTCTCCGTTTCGCTCCTGCTTCTTTCTCCGCTCGCTTCTCCGCTCGCTTCTCTGGCCGCTTCTCCGGCCGGTAGCGAAGCAGCCCGGCCCGATACGCCGTGGAAATTGGGTAGACATTGGAAATGAATCAGAGGGTGGAAGCAAGTTCAGGAGGGAAGCGCGGCCTTTGTGCCGCGAACGGGGCTCGAGTGCACTTCCGCGGAACACGATTTCACCGCGCTCGCGAGGGATGCTCCAGCTGTACCCTCGTGCAACCCCCGTCATTCCAGAAGCATCCTCCATCCGGCTGATCCACCTCTGCGTGGATCGTGGTACTCGTTCGATTTCCACGGGTCGATCGATCGCTCGCGTTAAACGTTGGCGAATTTCGATCGCCAAGATGGCGGCGGGGGGTTGCGAGGTGGTGGTCCAGGCAACTGTTGTGTTTCTACGGTGAATATAGTTCGTCGTGACGGCAAAATTATTTGTGATATATATATATATTTCTTTATTTAAGTATAATTTGGTATATATTTAATACATTGACTGCCGCACGCACGGCGCCAATATAAATATTTTATTATGCGACGCATATTATATTGAAATATTATTTACAATAGATACAGTGAGTTGCATAATCGCGTTTAATGTATTTTTCGTGATGGGGGTCACCGGTGCCCCCTGAGGCGCTGTAGACCATTTTTGCTATTATCAATTGTTTAATAACGCATTAAAAATTGTGTTAGAAATTCTGTTATTCAGATTCGGATTGCAGTGCTTTTATTTGGAACTAGAATTAGAGGTAAATGCTGCCAACCGGTGGCATTGACATATATACATGATTATGCCGTAATTACGGCGAGAGATTACGTGAACAGTTTATATATTGTAAAAATTTGAATACGAAATATTATGGTACTTTTGCGAAGTTTGAAATTCCTCGTTTCGCGTGAAGATATCGATGAAAGAAAGAAGATGCGAAAGTTAAAGAACGGCGAGCAGCCTCATTTGCGAATCTATTTCGCGAACGTTTAATGCATTTGTTGAAGTCCGATATTTCCACAAAAATTCTCCACTCCGTTCTTTTTTCCCCTCTGCTGCTTATCGGTGAATAAAAGAGAGGCTTGCTGCGAGAAACTAAGGCGAAACTCGACGCAGCCGGGGTTCTTTTAATTAAAAGAGACCGCGCCGTCATTTTTTCGAGGAAATTTTGTTTTCGCCGAGCGCCGCCGAGACGTGCTTAATTTATTTCAATTTCTAAGGCTGTATCGTTTTAATTAATTTCGTGCCACTTGTTTCTTCTCTTTTTTCCCTTTTCCCTCCTTTTTCCTCCCCTTCTTTTCTCTTTACCACCACGGCGAGCGACCGAGTTTGACTCCCCGAATGAAAGAAACCGCGTGATTATCTCGCGAATTTCTCCTTTTTCTCCTCCTCGATAGCCACGTTAATAAATCGTCGAATATTTCGCGAAAACCGCGCGACGAGACTGAGCAAGTTAACTCTCCTTAATTAAAAGAACCACGAAGCCTCGGTTTCGGAGCCATTTTAACCGCAAGCCCCGTACCCAGTTACGTATAACGTTAATAACGCAGGCTGCACGTGGGCGATCATCGAAATTGCTCGATCGATGCAATTTTAAATAATCCGTGTAAACGTTCAAATATTTCGAATACGAAATTCAGCGACCAGTACGTAAATAATATTTTCAACGACCCGGGACCGGGGGATAAACGATAAATCAAGATAAAATCAAATAAGATAAAAGAAAATCATTTCTCATTCGATATGTTTATAAAACCGATTAAATAAAACCGTAAATAAAAGAAATAAATTTCTGTATATCGATTTTCACCAACTTTCAAAATTTCAAAATCCGCGACGATCCTCCGCGTCGTCGCATAAATTACACCCCCGTGCCGCGAAAGGTAATAGACAGAACGACGTTCGATACAGCTACCAACGCTCGACCCTTTTCCACACCGAGATCGAGATCGAGCCTGTGAAAAACCGAGGCTCGACTGGCTCGCTAGAGTTTCCTCGGCAGCACCGAGGGTGAAACCGAAGAAGGTAAACAGGGGCGGAATTCGCAAAGTGGCTCGCGAAAGGTTTCTCGGCATAATGCGCAGCCAAGAAGCGAGGTGCTAGAGCGACGTGGCTTGGCTGTTAGTCGCCAGTAATTACGCGTTCCTGCCTTCGGTTAACGCGTTAATTATTTCCACGAGACGATCGCGGTCTTAACCCATTTGCATCCAAGCGCGGAATATTCCGCGAGCCACGACCGTCGCCTATCACCGAGCGCGTAATAATCCGCGAGCTGACGTTTTCCATTACCAGTTGCTGAATATTCTTCATATGCCACAGATCACGTTTGATCCCTTTTACGAGCATCGGTTCATTATATTCTTAACAAGTTTTACTTTTATCGTGAAAATCCTGTTAACTGCCATTATGAGTAGGTGCTGATACGCGCGCGGTGATACGGGCTAGTCGTCAGTTGAACGTCACTGATGCGACGTTCTGATACTTCTGTTACCGAAACACCAGCGACGTGGTACACACGTCGTCAGGCGATTGTTGCAGAAAGAAAAATGACGTGCGTAACACGTCAACTGTTAATGAAATTCTTTACCGAAGCATAGTTTCTGCTCGCACTTCATCGTCAGTTGATGCGTCTTTATATTCTCTTCCGGCACCCTCTGAACTGTACCTGAACGCACCCTGAAGTGATTTGCACTCGACTGTTCTGGCACGCGCAACCGTGAATTTCTTTGCACCGCAAGTGGTTAAGGATTCTCGGGTTTGTGGAGTGAACCCTCTAATATGGGAATCGATTAACGTTTTAATTCATTTTTCTGAAATCCTCCGTTTTCGAGACTGTGAGATAAATAGGGTACACCTGTGTTTCACTCCTTTGAGATGTCGAATCACCCATACACCGGCAAATGGTTACTTTGTCTTGGGCCTTGTTGGTTACTGAGTAGTTGCCTCTATAATGGTATATTTTCTTGAATTTCATGGAGAGATCTACAAACCTGCAAACTTCGGACCAAACCGGTGACACGAAGGACTTGCACTCTCCTTGTAAGTCAGACTTCATCTGGCACCAGTAGTGTAAACCACGGGGAAAGAGATTGAGGTGGGTCGCAATCAGTATGTCGGCGCTCGTCGCGGATGTCGGGACAATAATCACGGCGTCGTAGAAGGCTTCAAACTGTCCTGTGGTTCTCTGACTTAGGAGCTTTTAAAGCGGTCGAGTGTTCGCGGAAGGGGTAGAAAAAGACCGCCAACCTGCGCGCGGGAAGACCTAAGTTTTCGCGGGAAAGGTTTACGCGGGAACCGCCCTCGCGCGGGAAAGTCGTGATGACCGCCCAGGGAGGTCGTAAATTAAGACGACCGTTGGTCTGCAACATCGCTGCCCGGTTCCAGGCTAATCCCCGGCATGACATTGACGATAGCCAATGCCATCCGTGGGACAATGCCTGTTGACCTGCAGCGACTGCTGGTATGTTGCGGGGACGTACCCGGTGCACACTCGACCTTAATGTCCCTGCTCCTTTTGCATGGGCATAGTGGCGGAATCTTAGCCTCCACCAGATATTTCAGTAAAGCTTTGAAACCTAAGAAAGACCGAGTACGTTTATTTTATAACAGAAACGTCCTACGATTTTTGATTCTTCCGAGTTTTCGTTCAACGATCTAACCTTTCGATCATCGTTTCGAAACTCTCGTCACAGGCTGCACCAAAATATCCCGTTCCCCTTGGAACATCTCGACGTCACCGTTGAACGTTATCCCCGAGGATGTATCTCTCGTCGAAACACAATCGCGAGAACAGAGATCCGTCCGATACGAGGGAAAAACAGTGTCGCGTTCGATAAATCGTTTATACGACGTTTCGAGGTAATCCGCGCGGTTCCACTGGTTCGGTTATCGGGGCGTGGATCGATCGGACGAAAATTGAATTTTTCCGCGCGCACATCCGTTTGCTCGTGGCCTCGTTCCCGCGTTTCGCGCCAGCGAACACGGTGAAACCTGGCGTAACTTCGCAACGCGTAACCGATGACCGCGATCGTTCAGTGTCGCGTGCGAACCAGACATCGTTGCTAAATTAGACGTCGTTACGAACTTGCCGCGTGACTCATTTGACACGCGAGGTTCCCGGTGTGTGGATACACCGATCGTGGTTGCTAAGTCGGAGCTTCAGAGACAGGGCCAAAGATGAGGTTCCATTTGCTCGGAACGACTATGCATCCGATAATCGTGACACCTATGGTACTGACATGGTACTCGAACGTTAACCCGTTCCCGTATTTTCACGAGTCTGACTCATGATGCAGATTTTGGTCCAAACATGAATATCACGAGCCAGACTCGTGAACGGAATATTTTGATATAAACCTAAGAACTATCTTGCATTAGAATGCGTGTTTACCTATGTATAGAGAGGCACGAAAACTATACGGCTTTTGGTTTTAAGTGGGTGAGGTGCAGGGGGTGGACCAGATAAATAAGTAAATAGATAAGTAAATTAATAAATAAGAGGAGAGGGGGATGAGGGAGGAGTTGGACTTTCTAGCAGGCCCTGTCTTAGATGGGGATACTTAGACAACATAGGGACTTCTATTTAATCCCCTTCCCGTACAATGACGAGTCTGACTCGTGATGAAGATTTTGGTCCAAACGTGAATGTCACGAGCCAGACTCGTGAACAGGGTATTTTAATATAAACCTAAGAACTATCTTTTATTATAGAGAGGCACGAAAACTATACAGCTTTTGGTTTTAAGTGGATAAGGTGCAGGGCTGGACTAGATAAATAAATAAATAAATATGAACAGAGGGGGATGAGGGAGAAGTTGGACTTTCTAGCAGGCCTTGCCTTAGATGGGGATACTTAGACAACATAGGGACTTCTATTTAATCCCCTTCCCGTACAATGACGAGTCTGACTCGTGATGAAGATTTTGGTCCAAACGTGAATGTCACGAGCCAGACTCGTGAACAGGGTATTTTAATATAAACCTAAGAACTATCTTTTATTATAGAGAGGCACGAAAACTATACAGCTTTTGGTTTTAAGTGGATAAGGTGCAGGGCTGGACTAGATAAATAAATAAATAAATATGAACAGAGGGGGATGAGGGAGAAGTTGGACTTTCTAGCAGGCCTTGCCTTAGATGGGGATACTTAGACAACATAGGGACTTCTATTTAATCCCCTTCCCGTACAATGACGAGTCTGACTCGTGATGAAGATTTTGGTCCAAACGTGAATGTCACGAGCCAGACTCGTGAACAGGGTATTTTAATATAAACCTAAGAACTATCTTGTATTATAGAGAGGCACGGAAACTATACAGCTTTTGGTTTTAAGTGGATAAGGTGCAGGGCTGGACTAGATAAATAAATAAATAAATATGAACAGAGGGGGATGAGGGAGAAGTTGGACTTTCTAGCAGGCCCTGCCTTAGATGGGGATACTTAGATAACATAGGGACTTCTATTTAATCCCCTTCCCGTACAATGACGAGTCTGACTCGTGATGAAGATTTTGGTCCAATTATGAATATCACGAGCCGGAATCGTAAACGGAACATTTTCCTAAATATACCTTTGAAACTGTCGTATATTATGAAATATAATATATTTACAATATTTATAAAAGAATAAAGGATTAGAGTTTACTTCCACTTCTATTTCGGCTCCTATCGCGACTGTTTTCGGGCATCAGTCTGGTCTGTTGACAGCGCGTTGTCATCTACCGTTTGGGCCCGGATTTCGTCAAGCTAAATGGCACGAGAAGAGGTTAACATGGTACTATTTTCCGCTATTTTCATTAACTATCTTATCGGGAACTCTCCCATTCCCGAGTCTCTGACTCCGCGAAAAATTCCCCGGGCGTAATTACAGCGTCGATTTCGACCATGTCAAAGAGCCATTACCAGAACGCAAACCCGACCAGTAATAACCACGCGTCAAAATCCTTCAAAGTAATACTTCCTATACTCCCCGTGGGGCACGAGATTCCCGAAAAATGTCCGCGTAATCTCGCACCGGGACCGAAAACTCGTCGCGAGGACTGTTCGCGATCGTTTTCCCGCATCCCTTCGCCCTGCTCGGGGGTCGTTCCGTGGCCGGGCGGGCAAAAATTATTTAGAATTACCCGAATCCGACAAAACTGCCGGCCAAGATTCGCCTTGGCATAATGCGATCCGAAGAGATCGAGCGGCGAATCGGCCGTTCACCCGCGATATCGGCGTCTCGATCTCTCCGGGTAACGTCTTCGGCTCCCTCGGGGCGCTTTAATCCGGCCCTGGCCCGAAATCTCGCTCTTATTACCGGCCCACGAAAAGCTGGATTATCACTGTCTTTATCCCTGCCACGGCGCGCCGAAATTATATCGCGTCTTATCGATGCCCAACGATATGTCAACCCATCGATCAGGGTAATCGTCGATCCGTGCCGGTTGCTGCCGCTGCCACGTTTCCCCGTGAACGTGATGGATCGATGATCGCGACCGATACCAACCGTCGGACTAGGTCTCCGGATAATAATGTTGTCCGTGTGATTGGTTTTTAAGTAAAGGTATCGAGGCGTCGGTATCACGGAGGATGTGGGTTGCTGAGATTGGAAGCTCGGCGAGGTGAAGTTGGCAAAGTGGCAGGTTGATGAGGTTCAATTAGGGATTTTGGCGAAACGCGTGGTTTCGGTCCGAAGGGATGAAGAACTTTGGCTTTTATTTTCGTTACGTCCCCCTTCGAAACGAGTGTCTTTCAGCGAGTTTCGTTCGACAGAGTGGGCTTGCACCTAGTGCTTAGTTTGTCGGATCCGAGGTACATATTTACTTAGGTAAATTTACTTAGGCTCATAATTATTCGAACGACTTTCAAAAGATGGCGGAGCTTGCTCCAACGATTTGGATTTAAAATACGTGTAATTACAATTTTCGTGGACAGAGTGTAAGTAGCATACGTCGTTTTTACACCAACCCTGTATAATTTTAATTAATTTTTATGTTGTTTTTATATCGTAAGAGGAATCTTATTTTAATAGCGTCACCTTGGATCGGGATCTATCTTTGCTTCGAGGAAAATTGACAAGCTGGATAGTTCCTGGAAATTAGATTGAATGACGAATAAGAACCTTGTCGAAGGATTCGGGGGAACGCTTCTTCTTTTTGACAGTCCACCGTGTGCAGCACGCATCACGGGAAAACTCGAGCCTCGCTTCCATTTCCATTGCATTTAATTTGCAGAACCGCATAAATAAAAGCAACGCGCGTTCATCCTCCCGGCGATCGCTATTCTCCCAAGCACGGTGCTCGCAAAGTGGATAATCTTTCCTCAGAGAAATATCAAACGACCGGCGAATACTCGCGGCAACTACAGATCAAGATACTCGATGATCGAGGCGAAAAACCTTGGCAACGGTAATTTCCGCGGTAAATTGCTCGAAAGGTTCAAAAACTGGTCCACTCGGGCGGAAAAAACTCGAATCCGCGTTACGGGAGAAGCTGACCGGCGAAGAAGTGCACCGGGGCCCACGGTAACGTTGCAAAACACCATGGAGAATGTTCGCCGCGAGCGATCGGCGCGGGGCTACGCTTCGAAATCCTCAGCCGATCGCGAACGAACCGTGAAATCGATGAGACGAAAGTCCGAAACACGTTCGACACGCTCGAAACGGTTTACCCCCGTGAACCGATGGTGATTCATAGCGGTTCTGTTTCGCGTTCGTGCTTTCGCGCCGAGCGTTACGCGCCGCGACGCGGCAGACTGTGACGATAATGAGAGGCCAAGTTCGGGAACCAGGGTAAAAAGAGGAGGGAAGAAGCGTAGGAAGAGCACCCACGAAAAAGGATATTTCTCGGGACTAATGTTCTCGGAAGATCGTGGCCATTAGGCGACTTTACGGTGTTCCAATCTGCCAGAGATTCGAGCTAGGGTTGCTCGCAGCTGAATTCCGAGGCTCTGCCTATCGAGACCGAATCCTTGGATCATCGAATTATCCGCAAATGTTCGCAGGGTAACCGATTCGTTGCACTTCTGGAATTTTTAAATATTCTTTTGGATATTAATTTGTTATGTTCTGTCAAGGATGCTCGAATTATTGCAATGTCTATATCTGTTTAGGCAAATACAAATAATTAATACGTTCCGTGCCACGTGTACCATTTGTCGTACAAATCGTGGACAGACGGGTCCAATTTATTTCTCAATTCTATGCTTGGTACAAGGTAAATGTATAAATTTTACATTGCTGTTGTTTCGGGACACGATAAATTAAAAATAATAAATAAATAAATTTAATAAAATTATTAAAATGTTGGAAGACAGTGTTATACAATGTCACTTTTGTCTTAACTGTTTGAGGCACGCTGGAATCAAAAGTGTCCCACCTTTTCGATGCACCATAATGTATGGTGAGACATTTTTAGTCCCACCTCGAAATATTGCAATACCTTTATATTTCGTCTTATTTACGTAAAGTAATTGGTAATACC